TTGGATTACGCAGCGTTCGCTTTATGGACTCAACACTTTGATCCATCAGGTGCAGACGTAGCAGCGACACCATCGTCCAGCACCATGTGGTAAACTGTTCTTTTGTCGATTGTGATAAGTCCATAAGGGTGGACACTTGACGTACACTTTCAGATATGCCAGATAAGCCAATGATTTCCGGAGCATGTTTGTTTAGCGATTCAGTTATCAAACAAGCCATGCGCACATGTATGTTATGCGGCAAAAAGAGGCGTCCATCGTAATCAAATCCCCAATTCAAATGGCTTATGACAATGCGTGCAAGCGTGTTTTCCTGCGATGTATAGTCAAAGTGAAGCAGCCAATTTGACAAAATTTCAAAACTATCCATGCCAGGTTTCCAATTCTCCAAAGGCAACGATTTAATCAGATATGTTCCATTTTCAATTTCATAGAAACGAACTTTCAATTGCAGCAATAGACATGTGATGAGTTCTTCATAGGATAGTGTTAGATTGACCAGCATGTCGCGGGATGTTTTGTAACAAGTTTCGCGTGTGTTGGCGTTTATGAAACCGATCTGAAAAAAAAAACAAAGTAAAAATACATTTTATTATGAAAAAGGTGGGCTTACATTGAAAATATGCAGGCATATTGTTTTTATCAAGTCCCAGTCTTGGGATCGGTCCCGTTCATTGGCCATTTCGAAGAAGGCCTGAAGCAAATAATATAAGTCTTCGGCGGATGAATCCGCATTGGCAACATTGAATTGCTTCCAGAAGTCTGGAGTGTTAATTACTTCCCAGTAGTCTAAAGCGTATACAATATTAGCATGATGATAAGATTAACGAATAAACTACAAATAAATTTCATCGTAGTTTTTTGGTGTGAAAAAGTACCTGTTCGATTTAGCGGCAGCTCTGTTGGGAAACCCACATTTAGGTAGTAAAATATTTGCCACGTAACATCGGCATCGAGAGAATTGAAAGGGAGTGACGAAAAGTATTGCCAAGTGGCTAAATTGCGGGAGCGATAAATATACCTGCAAGCCTTGAATAGCAGTGCATTCAGTTCAACAGATATGCGCTCACATGTTCTAGCATCTTTTGGAATTTCATTGTGCCTAAAAAGGATGTAAATTTTAGAAATTATCTTATTTTTGAATGCAGTTCCCGTGTTCATTACATGAATAGCTCATAATAATCGGTGCTATACTGTAGCGTATGCCGTATAAGACGTCCCAAACGCTTTGCTAGTTGCTTGTAACGCTCCGTGTTATATGTCAACATACCTTCGCCGAAAATTTCTATTAAACGCGAAAAGAAAATGATGACCTGCAGCACATCATTTGCTAGTATTAGGTCCGGAGAAATAATATAGTCATTCAGAAATTTCTCAATTTTTAATGCAGAACTGAAACAAGTATGCAAATAATTGATTTAGCTTAGGTTTCAAAAAGTGTTATTGAGTATTGGAAACACCACACTCACATAAAGATTTTCTCAAACGGTATTTGGTTGAGTAAAGCAATTAAATCACTCTCTTTCAAGCCAACGCATTCGCCATTTGCATTGTGGCTATCTTCACCATCAGAATCTATGAGTATCCAACGTTCTTCACGCGCAGGATCCGAAATTTCCTTGTGAGACTTAAAAAATGTTATTAGTTGTAATAACGAGTTTTCTTTGCAGATGTAAACTAACTTTTTCAAAGTCTTTTAGATATTCGGTACGTTTCGTGACGGGCAAAAGCAGTATTTGTAGTGTGGCAATACAATGATTCATTTCCTCCGAATTGAGATCCAACGGTATTTCTCTATCTTGGGAGCAGATAGCTGTTGCAACTGGTCTTTGAGATCCAATGGGAATTTGAAAGAATTCAGTTGCCCAATTACCCACACCGATGGGACAACGCAGAATGTTGAAAAGTAGAAACCAGTGGTCCTCCTTAGTAGCAATTAATAAATGTAGGGCAATTACTTTGCGCAGCCATATTTTCAAATCATTTGAAAAATCCTAAAAAATATCCATACATGCGTTGTTATGAGAAGAGTTTCTTTCACAATATAGTAGACGTGAAACAGTTATGTCTACCTTATTTGGACTTAGTTTGCGCATAAAATTAAACAAAATCGATATAGAACGCCTTAATTGCGCAACGTAGGGAATTACTGCGGAATCGAGCACTTTTTGCAAAGTAATTTTCTCCTTTTGTGCAAGTCTTATCAGACATTTTGTAGAAATTATATCGTCGACCATTTGGTCTATCTGCAGAAGGTAATGAGCTTATAATAGATATTAACAATTTATAAGGAATACACATTTTGGTATCTTTTATCCATTTTATAGTATATATACATACGTACCTTCACTTTTGTGATTTTAGCTGTTATTAAATTTGTGGTGTATGTATTGCAGACCAAATCGTACAGATTTTTTAATGCTGCAGAGGTGTTTTCTAAGTTTTTACCCTTTACTTGAGCAACGCTATTGAAACAAAAACACTTAAATGAGCAAATATAAATACATATCTAGAGTTTGCCGGAAGAATGATATTTCCCAGAAGTTGCTGAAAGAAAATATGGCACTCTTCAACTAACCCGAGATAATTAAAATACAAATTGAAGCTAATACAATTTGTAAGTTTAAGGGGAAACGCGAAAAGCAAACCATTGCTTATTTATAAATTTTTGCTTCCGCGTAATTATGAAACAAATTTCACTCACTTATATGTGACACTCTCCTTCACCAAAACCTTATCACCACATTTCGCTGAAAATGTTTTCGTAACAGGAATCTCTCCCCAAATTTGTTCTTGCGCCTCATTGACGGCTTTGCGAGCCTTTTCCACATCATACACATTCATTGATAGTTTGCTTTGTAGATTGTAGTACTCAAGAAGCGCTGCGTGAAGTGGATCATTTTCGTATGTTTCCAGTAGTGAGTTCATGAGAAAGTCTAATTCAAATTGTTTAACAAAATCTAATTCGCCGCAATTATAAAGTTGTTTTTGTTGTTCCAATGTGAAAGGTACCAACTGACTATTGGTAAAGTAATGTTTTGAAGATGTGGTTGCAGTCTTTTTTGTTTGATAAACTACTTTAGATTTAGTTTCGACAAGCTGCAATGGTGCGAGATTTGGATACTGTGGGTTTGGTAGTACATCTGGCGGGCCACTAGGTACTGCTACACGTGTGCTTACATCTGCAATCGGTGCTGTTGGAATTGGAGGCTCCTCTACTGTGGGTGGGGCGTCTCCAGCTGCAACCTTTTGAGCGATGCTCCCCTCAGCTACTTCATTGTGTGCGACCACCTCAAGATTTGCCTCAAACTGAGCAACCTCAGGGTCTGCGCCTACCTGAGCCTCTGGATCAGCCCCCTCTTGGGTAAGCTCTTCCGCCAGCGACAGCTGGTCGGCCGATTCTTCACGAGTCATTTTTGCATCCTCACTCTGTTCTCCGACATAATCCGACGCAATGTAGCATTCTTGACTAAAAATATTTCCTGCACTGGTAGTTGCAAATTGGTCAAAGTCCACAGATAGTGTTTTATCGCTAACTAAATTGACAATTGCAGTTGATTCATTTTGTCGTTCCTCGTCTTCAGTTAGACTTTTGGAGATTTCCGGTTTGGGTTTAACTTTTGACTTCTTTGTCTTCTGTAGAAACATTTTGATGCATTAACTTTTGGAATAGTACAACAAAACTAAAATACGGTCCTACCTTAGGTTTCTCCATCGTAGCCATTTTTATGGATTTTTCTCTACCAGTTTATCACTCTTTACAAAACTTTTCTACGCCACAGAGAACAAATAGAAAACACGCAAAAACTGCATTGTTCACAAAAATCCCCGAAAAAAATATAAATAAAAACACCGATCGTACTTAATTCAATCAGGTGATTGTCATTGTCCATGAAGCTACCAGATTATGTAAAAGAATATCGATAAATTACTTGCCGTCTCCACAGGCAAAAGTTTTTATCTTGATAAAATATCAGGCAAAGTTTTGCCAATGGAGACCGCAAACTTGATAAATACTGCCAGGAATTTAGTACTTTGGCAGCAACACTTTCATTTACGCGATAACTTCGTGGCGGCAACATTAATGATATTTTAATACAAAAACAAAATTGAGCGGTTTTCTATTAAACTATTTGTTATTATGTGCTTGGGTGTAAAATAACATATTTTTGTTTGTTTTTTAAGTGATCAAATTCGGCAAAAATTGCCATCTTACAAATATTTTTATCAAGATAAAAAATGCCCCTGCTCAAATATTGCCTTTGATAAAATTTATGTCAGGCACTAAAAATTACAGTTGGTAGGCGAAAACGTTTGCTTGTGGAGACAGGCCGTCAGGCTACATCAAAGAACGTAAATGTATAGGAAGGGACAACTTTGAAAATGTACCGCAAAATAACGTAAATATACGTTCTTTGATACCGCAACGATTTTGACCGTATTTGAAATGTTTGCAACAAGAAATCGACTCCGTTTCGATTATGTCTGCGGCACATTTTTGATTTTCGCCTCGTATGCGGACAGCGCAAGCAAAACAGAAGAAATGTGGCAAATTTGAATTTCAGTTTTTTGCACAAGTGACTAAAAAATGTATTTTAATTTAGAAGATGGATAAGTTTAATCGTTAATCGGGAATACTATATGAATTGTTAACTTTTAGTCATTAATCAGATTAACATTTTTTCAACAATGTGATACAGACAACGAGAGAGGTGTGAATGCCCTGTGTAAGCCCCAAGTTAGGTCGCCGGCATAATTATAGGAAATTTACATGATTAAACTTTTTTGGCCGATTAGTTGAATCAAAAGTTGAACGAAAGTATGCAGCTAGCCAAATTCTCTGAAGGCGATTAGTTGAAAGGCAGTTTACACCAGGCGATTGTTGCGTACAACTCAAATTTGCCTGAAAAATCGCTTCATGTAAATTCCCTACTAAAGATACTTGCTTTTGTTTCACACTGTGAACAGTTGGATTTCATGTGGCAACGACGATAAAACAGCTGTTACTAAAATATCATTTTGTCATTTATAAGCATTTGTAAACAACATAGAATTTATTAATTTTGGAAACAAACGCATTTTGCCGACAACGTTAAATAACAACAAAATTAAGTATTCTGCACTAAGTACATCATGACTATACATCATTTGTACATTTTTGATAAATTCGGCACTATGCTGTACTATGCAGAGTGGAATCGGACGAAAAAGTCTGGTGTTAGCAGAGAGGAGGTGGATATGATAGCATTAGATTGAATATCTTGCTCAACTTTTTATTTTTCAGGAAGCAAAACTAACTTATGGTATGCTTTTTTCAATTAAATCTTTTGTTAGTAAAATATCGCCGCATGACCCGAAGGAGGGCTTTCTGTACTACAAAACGAACAGATATGCTCTTCATTACCTTGAAACGCCTTCCGGTCTTAAGTAAGTAATTATTTAATGTTTTAATTATATTACGGGCAATAGTAATAAACAATATTTTGCCTTTCTCAGGTTTGTATTGTATACTGATACAGCTGCACTTAATGTAAAAGAGCTTCTGAAACAACTATATAGCAAAGTGTGGGTCGAGTATGTTGTCCGCGACCCCCTTTGGTCACCTGGCACTCCTGTAACATCAGAACTGTTTCAAACCAAATTAGATGATTTTATAAAGCAGTCATCACTCTATGGAATTCGTAATATATGAGTTAAAGTACACCTTAAGCATGCATTTATATAATAAGAGTCCTTGCAAAAAGTTACCGCCTTTGGATAAATAATATTTTATTATTTATATGCGTTTAAAGTTAAAAACACACTTGGTTTATATGTTTACGTAATTGAGGAATTACAAAATAAATTATTTATGTAGAAATAAGCTGAATTTAATAACGTTTTTAAAGTGACAGGCGGAGCTGCTACGGACCATAAGCACTGCGTTGTAGTGGTCGATTTGCGCGTGGCCCTTAACCCTATACGTAAAGGCATTTAATGTAGACTAGCACTTCCGCGACCTTTTTGTTCCAAATTTCGAATAGATTAACTGTAACAACACCTACATAGGTGAGAGAGGTTGCATTCCAAAACGTCAAAATACAAAGCATCGGTATATTTTACTTCTAAACCGCGCGACCTAGTCCGAAACTACCATCCGTGGTTGCGCAAATTTGACATTTTGAATCTACTGAGGTCTGGAAGTAAACGAGACTGATGCTTTTTATTTTGACGTTTTGGGATGCACCCAGATGTGCGCCCAGCGAGGGCCTCACATTCACAAATAATGTGTCGTGGCGTTTCTTCGTTTTACGGAGGTGGCAACAGCAATGTCTCGCGAAGAGTTACAAGGTCTTAACTCATGGGTTTACCGTTAGTTGAGCTTGACGACAACGGCTGAAATACCAGCCTATCTGGGCGGGGTTGTTGTTGTTGTTGTTGTAGCGGCACTACTAAGCCCCGCCTGTTTCGGGTCAACTTTTCAATCATTATCGTCGAGCTCAGCTAACGGTAGGCCCAGGGGCGGGGTTGTTGTAGTCGCTACAATAACAACAACAACAGTTCCAAGGTCTTTTCCTCCTAAATTTATAAAATTTTTAGAAGCTACTTATGATGAACAGATAAACCACTTAACTTGTCTTTCTCTGGACATTAACCCCAGTACCTGTGGGATTTTTTGACCTACATAACTTGGTGATCCCACAAAAGGGTTCCGGGCCATAGAATACTGTGGAAGCTCGGTACTTTGACATGTTCGTGGACCTATTGCCTTGGGGTTATCTGCACTCAAGTATGCTTGGTCTGCAATAGATACCTTAAAATCACTAGTCTTGGAACTATTGCGTCACGCATGTGCAATATGGGGTCATTTATAAATTTTTCGAGCACCTTCATTTGACCTTATGTATTTCCGGTTTTAATTCGGATACAATTAGGATCCTCAGTGCCAAAAAGGTGGCCTTATCCCCAAGTTTTTCCAAAAAATCGTTAGCGAGCAAAGAAAGCAGCCATCGACCTGTTAACGGTAGCATCTAAATGTGCGTTCCAGGTGAATATCTTATCTAGGTATCTTGCTCTATTTGAAAACCTATACTATTGCCGACCAGAATAAGTTGTCATGGATTACTTGTTTCTACGGGTAAGCGGAACCAGAATAGTTTTTGTGCATCTGCGTTAGCAGAGCTATCTCTGTAGCTTCGGGAAGAATCCCACAAGAATAATGCGGCGTGGTGCTTCTACATCCTCTACCAATTTCATCTTAACCTACCACCACGGGGAAAGCTTTGTAACAGTCGCTGCAGCTTTTAAATAACCATGCCGAGTGGAAGATGCAACCATTGAAAATAGGCTTTATAACGCTATCTATTTTGTTCTTGATCGTTGATCACACAGCATTTGAATAGTCCTCTAGAAGGATACCAAGCACGACCTCGAAAAGTCCTCCATAAAAGAGAGAGAGGCACAGTTATATTACAAGCTGGCCCGTCTTTGCTGATCCATCGCCTGGTTTGCCCAATTTATTCGGAGATCGGCCCTATGTGGTGGAGCTATTCTACGGGGCTCTTTTCTTAGCCGAGTTTTGTTTCTTGGTGGTCCAATGGGTTCTTTGCGTTGTTGGATATGCTGTTTCCCGGATAGGCAATCAAATGCCAGACAGCGTTCTGACGGCACTTACATCCCGGCTCATGCTAGTGTTCACCATTTGTTACATAACACGAGGCACTACGTGCTGCCGGTAGTGCATTAGTGAGGGGTTCGGTTTCGACGCCGGCCGAAAGGCCAACGTTGGCCGTATATCAGAGCTCTACAGCTCCGACTGGTTTTTGATTTTGGTTATTTACTAGGTTAATACTTATGCCACGAGCTGGGACATATGGATCTCTCAGTATCTCGAGCAGGATTTCTTACAACCACCCATTATAAGGCACACTGAAGTGGTGCTATTTATCCCAAAAGCACGGTACGGATGACACTCGGATATACGGAGGCTCGTCTTGCCGGGTGTGACTCTTCGCTTCGTATGGCCCGCCTTGAGTCATTCGCTCCTGATCAGGAGGTTAACATCGAATAAAATCAAACTTTAAAGATATGGAACAAATATTTTACCAACTTGAAATTGTAAATTAAACTACGTTAAACTCTTTCAGTTATTTTATGTATGTATGTTCGCCAAGTGCTTATAAATTTTTTATTAAATCTTCCAAATAAACATTTTATATTTCAAACACAAGGATCTAAGTAACAGGGATGTAATTAATTAAAGTAAATCTAAGTAAATCAATATCCACGAACATTTGTCTGTAAATAATTTTATAACTAAATAAGTAAGTTTATATATGTACTTCAAGTTATTAATTACATACATATATTCTAATATATGCAATATGTATAAATATCTATAGTATAAATGTTGTTTACACGTTACAAAAATAGAATCAATTTTAGTGTTTATCTCTTAAGCATTAAATATGTATGTATATCTATGTATGTATGTTGTATTTGTAAGTATAATATTTAATGTAATATACTGAATAACGATATATGTACATTATAAATATTGTATAAGTGTAAATACGTCTAACAGTATACACACATACATCTATTCAAATAGTTAAAATTATTCAATATAAGTAGTCAAATTAGTTAATGATCACAGTGTCTTCATTTTTATTTCGCACACTAATCGCCATTCATTTAAAATGACTTAGTTAACCGCATATCGAGCCCTAACCGCCAAAATAACGTAAGCGCAATTTTTTTCAAAATTTTCATTTTGATGCAGAAATATTCCTAGAGCATCTAGATGCATTTCTGCATCAAAAAGAAAATTTTGAAAAATTGTCGCTTACGTTATTTTGGCGGTTAGGGCTCGATATAGTGAGATTCGCGCTTCTGTGTATTATTTCATGTATTTGTAACTGAGTGAGCGTGCAGCAACAATCTGACGCTCGTCGAGTTACACGAACACAAAATACAACAAATACATAGAAGCGCGAATTCCACTTACATATACATATAATTTTATAAACGTACATTTGCATTAAGCTATCTTATACATATTTACATACGTACATACTATTTTTGTAAGCATGTAATATATTCATATATGTACATATATAAGTATGCACATATGTATAAATCATACATATGTATATCAAACAAGTATAACTCTGTGGTCATAAGCAATAACCGCCTAAATCGAAAAAACTTAATTCGAGAAAAAACGTTATAAACATTCGGATTGTAATGTTAACCCTATGGGGAAACCAAATATGTTCGTTTATAACTTCTGCAGAATACAATAGCATATATAACTCAATTCTTTCTTAAATCGACTTAGGGGCTTATTGCCACAGAACTATGCCTACTAGTTTGTTTAGAATATTTTAATCCATTTTTAACTTTCAGACTTAGCCATTACTACTTAGCACTAAAATTTGTATTTCTATACTACTAGTTTGTTTAGCGAAAGTCCAACATTTTTTTTATTATTAAGTAAATTTGCATAAGTCGCCATATAGTGAATATCAATAAATTCCAGGTCTTTCTTCGTATGACGTACATACGTATGTACATATGTACATATATACGAATCACACCGATTCCTTTTCTTTAAACTGGCGGTAGGTGCCATTCTCGCCACCACTTGGTGGCGTATCCAGTTCAGCCTCCTTTGCCAGGTTACCGGTGGTTATACTGCGCTCAACTGGCATTTCGGTTTTCTTATCATTTTGCCCTTTAGTAAAGACGACTTCGATGGGATTGTGCTTCTGTTTTTCATTACTTGTGCCAATGATGATGTTGGATTCGGTTTGTACATCAAAGGCATGGTTGACTTTGGTACCTTTTTCTTTCTCCCCCGATGTCAAATCGCTGGTAGCTTCGCCGATTATATAGGGCTTTTCGCCGGGGAAACGTTCACACCATCTCAATACCATGGGATGTAAGAGCTTCGCATCGTAGGCGTCCTTGGGATCACGTGTAAGGTAACTGATTATAACGCCGACACCAACAGCAATGACTGCTCCAAGTAAACTGTAGTACATGTAACTGACAGAGTAGAAAGTCTCCATCGGAGTGCTAAATGCAAAAGAAACAAAGTAAACTTGTGTTACAGAAGATGTAAATATGTATATTTATAGGATACAAGAATAATAAAAGAAAATGCATACAATTGTAAAGTGGATAGATCCAGCTTCACTCATACACTTTTGAGCCTGGGGCCTACTTCGACATGGAAGCTATTTTAACAACGTTCTGCCGGAAGGAATATTAAAATCGGTGCTAAAATAGCCTTCATAAGGCTAATTTAGAGCTTGCTTTGCGACAAAACTCTCGCAGTTGAGCAGGGTAGCGTCAGCTTGCAGCGCAGAGGGAACAGCTGCATCCCCTCACCTCTCTTATTGGTCGTAAACGAGTTGTAAGAGGAGCTGGAGAAGAGAACGGCGCATAGTGGAGAAGCCCCATATAAAATTTGTTATGAAGAAATGTGAAATATTGCGTAGATTGGCACACTGCCACTAGGGGTCGGAAATGGTAAATGTTATCCGATTTTAATGAAACTCGCTTTGTGGCTTAGTTTTAGCCAAACAAATTTAAATCTGAAATATGATCAAAATTGGCCTACTTCCATATTCACCAGCTATACCAAAACCAATATAAAAACACATTTTTCTTTAAACCAGATAAAATCTGACATATCTGCCACCCAATGCAGCGGGCGTGAAAGTTCGCCAAGCTACAACATTTTTTATACTTCAGACAAAAGTACTAGATATTAAACTCCAGTAAAATCAGATCCCAATTACCATTTTTTGGTAGCTGATATGAGAATCTGTCACTGGAAGATTAACAGAAGGGTCGTAAACGGAAGAGTGGCTTCCTTGTCAGCAGCTTTTCCCCCTCTCCTTTCTCTTCTGGATGGAAACCGCATCTGTACATTCAAACCAAAATCTAGGCTTGACTATATGGTAGTCCGTGGTTTTATTTGCTTTCGAGGTAGAATCTAAGATGAGCTATGCCCGAAGGTAATCGATATGAACCACCCAGACTCTCTGAGTCGTACTGCGGAGTACATCGCGGTTTCCTTTAGGCATGGATCCATGGGCATCATATTGAGGACTACATTCACCATACTAGGGCGCCGTAGGTAAGAATAGGCCTTATGATTGCGGTGTGTATCCACATCAAAAGCTTCGGTTTTAAACCCGTTTCTATTTATTATCTGTTTACAAGTATAATAAGCCGTCTCTTTACGTTTCTAAACGTTAAGTTTCCCGTTTAATTTAGTGTCTAAAATTACTCCCAGATATTTCGCATTAGATGATAGGGGGATTGTCTTCCGCCTATGGATGGAAGTCTAAATTGGGGTATCTTATTCCTATTATGTAGTGAACAGTAACAACTCAAGTTTGCTTGAGTTTACGTTCGGGTCACTGCGGATAGATCACGTGTGTATCCCACCTTATTTACAGTAGAAAGAAATGGTCCCGTGACTGCTATCACTACATGATTAGCATACATCAGTACTCCCACTGCTCCACTATTAAGTTCTAGCAGTATACTATTTAATGCACCCGCTGTGGAGTACCTCAGCTCACACCAGAGTGGTGTTATCTTAAACTTTTTATAGAGAATGAGTTCAGCCTAATAAATAATTTCCAAATAACGCCACTCAGTAAGTTGCGAAAATAAATAAGTTCAAATATACAGATCAAGTGATTTGGTCTAGATCAGAGATGGGCAAAGTGGCTCCCAGGAGCCTTTTGCACTTAGGAGCCGGCTTGGCACATTTATGTAGGTGGTATATGAGGGGTAACATCAAGAGCCAGCATGAAGGGGGAAGTAGAGCGTATTCAAATTTCTTGTATTCCGACTCTCATTACTAATATATGTGATGCTTTTAATGTATTTTGTACGCCCCTTTTACCCTGAGAACTGATTTAGCTCTTGCGTAGCACTTGCTGGCTCTTTTGGCGTCTTTAAGAGCCAAAAATCTGCCCATCCCTGGTCTAGATTCAAAATGAACATTTGAAAACACAATTGCATATTGTGGCTGTAGTTGAGTGCGCGGAGATGCTTGCTACTATTTGTTAGCTTTCAGGAGGATCCGAGTGCGAATGGCATTCACTTTTGATTTTGTTTAGGATTTTCTTGATTACGAAAAAACATCTAAAGTAAACAAAAGATCGTTTGGCGCAAAATCGTATGGGTTTTAGCTTGAAACAAAGAGGATATGGTTTATTTTTTTCTCAGTGTAAAAATGCGATTCATACAACATTGAATTCCTGTGTCCTTGGAATCGTACTAGTGTAATTTTTTGCAGAACGTATACTTAAAAAATAGTTGTAGGCATGTCTGGAATTTTATCAAGCACTTTATTGCATATTTTCGAGTTTGAGTTTTGGACTTTCTGCCACTCTCAGAACACTGTGCCTCGTGGCTTCGCCCATAATGTTAAGAGTAGATTTATGGACACCTTATATGATCTAACCTGGGAGTCAAATGGGTGGCTGACGCCGGGTTCGCCGGCAAAGTGGCAATTAGGAGCTGGTTTTATTCACAAGAGAATTCAAGAACCAACTCTGCGTCTAGATACTCTAACATTCTTGAGCGTTTAGATTTCATCCCTCATTACGAGGATTACTGCGTCACTAAAATAGCCCCAGTCAGGGCGGTGATGTCTCTGATATTGTGTCTAAAATTGGTCAGAGAGTTGCCCCCCAATCGCATGGGAATTTTTAGACATATTTGCATATAGGAACCAGTGACATTCTGGCAAACTGCATTGTTGATAAGTTGGCAGAAAGGAAATTTTTCAAACGATGCAACAGGACAGGAAACGGATGGGAGCACCACCGAGCACTTGTGCTTCACTCTTGGATATGTTTAATTGCAAGGAAAGCGAGCACTTTAAATTTAAATTTCGATCAACTAAAATCCGAAAACTCAATAGCATTCGACAACTCAACTAATCTCGATAAATCTCGATAACCTCGCATTTCAAGGGATCGAAAAATGTCGATAACTCAAAAATATATATATATCTCCTTAAAAAGCGATAGCCCGATAAACTTTTGATACCTCTATAAATTTCGATAACTCAGTTTATTTTAATAGATAGCTCCACATCTTTCGAAAGCTATCGACAAATTTCGATAACTCGTTACACTTTGGCAATGATAACTCCATAAATTTGTATTGATAAATGAATATATTTTGGAAAGTGCAAAAACATCGATTCGATAAATCCGCAACTTTCAGTAAATTAATAAATATCGATAACGCGATAAGTTGAAAGTACTCGATGCGTTACGATAACTCCGTAACATTCATTAACGCTATAAATGGCGATAATTCATTAAATATCGATAACTGGATAAATTTTATTAACTTTAGTTATTTCGATAATCCCTCAAATTTAAAATGCCGACAATTATACGTAAATTTGATTAAAAAATACATGGATACAAGGCAATCCTCGGAAAGCTTGCGGGTAAATATGTAATATGAAAGTATTAATTTTTTTTTTCTTACCGTTCCGGTGCCATGAGGGTTAGTTGCATAGCTGAAGTCTCGTTGACGAGCGAATGTGAAGCTAACCACGACGCAGCAAGTTCTTTGGGTTTAATGATGGACTGCGAGAAAGTGGTGTTGGTGCAGCCCTAAAAAAATATACAAAAAATAAGAAATTCATATCATTCGATCCTATCCTTTCAGTCAGTTTTCTGTATTCTACCTCTGTTGATGTAGGCAGGAAAATATTCTGACCGCTCTTGTCCAATGTAGCGCTGCCAGTGATGAGCCAGATCACGAAGGCGCACGACGATATCATACCAGCAGAGGTGCCCTAAGGTAATAAAAAAAAGAAAATGTTATTGCCGTTATTATTATAATCAGCTTTAAAAGCGCGCTTTTCGCTTTTTTACCTTCCAATTGGCAATCGGCACAAGCATGGCTAATATGAAGCAGCCCAATAATGGGCCGGATGTTGCCGAAAATGCTAGTAATGAAGACTCAATTACTCCCGATAGCAGGCCTACGCCGAAAGCGACTCCCATTATAATTAATCCGCAAATGACGGTTATGACTTTAAGGATGAAAAGCTGTTGCTTGTCGCTTAGTCCCTTGAATTGTGGCAACTGCGAAATAAAATCTTCCCAGCAAACTGTGGCTAATGAATTTAAATTTGAGACCATCATGCTGTTGAGCAAAAGTGGCGACAGACCGTGCGTTAGATTGGGCAGAAATTGATAGCGATGAAATATGTAGTTTTTTGCAGACAAATATGTAAGAGAGAAGAAATTACATTAAGCAATTAAAAATTAATTTGTATTAGCTGCCATCCCACAACCAGATAAAATTATACGCACCACAATGCACCATTGAACAGCATTGCCATAAAAATGCCAACGAAGCCGGGTATCACCGCCAACTGATCCTCCACAAAGAAGGGTAAAATTTCATCTGGTTTGCTTATGTAGCCCTCAGCGTAGGGATCACAGTTCACATAGGTAGCATAGATCACCATACCCGACAGCCACGATAGTGAAAAGAACACAAAGATTATGGGGATATTTGTCATCATGACTCTGAAAATCCAGAAAAGTATAATGTAGTGTTATGTTACGAAAATTGAGCAGTTACTGGAAACTTACCTTCGCACCTGACTCATGGATTTCAGCGATACGTAACGTTGCATGAAGTTCTGCTGGCAGCCAAACTGAGACAACGACATGAACAACTGACCTAGCCAGGCGGACAGCGTATCTACTCGCACAGTCATGTCGCCGCTGAAGTTGAAGAATTGTAAACGATCTATTTTTGGAAGAAATTAGGGAAAAGTTATTTTAAAGTTCTTATTAAGTGAAAAACCAAGCTAATCACATAATACATCGGAATTCCTATCTTTACGCACGATTTACGACTTGAATTATGGAATAAGTTCGGGATGGTATTCTTGTATTCTGGCGAAAAAGCATGGACAATGACAACGTCCGATGGGGCGGCTGTTTGAGTATTCGAGAGAAAGATTTTGCGGAAAATGTACGGGCTTTTGCGCGTTGGCGACGGCGGGTACCGCAGACGATGGAATGATGAGCTGTATGAGCTTTACAACGACATAGACAAAGTGCAGCGAATTAAAATGCAGCGGCTCCGCTGGCTTGGCCATGCCGTTCGAATGGACACCGACGCTCCAGCTCTGAAAATATTCAACTTGGAACCCGCTGGTGGTTGAAGAGGAAGAGGGAGCCTGAAATCTTTCTCAGCCAACAGGGGGAGTTTTCCTCATCTCATATGTTGACGACTGTTCGATATTGGCATCCGGGAATGGAGTTGGTGACATATGCTCCAAAGTAAACGGCTATCTCTTGGAAATTTCTGGCTTCCCCACTGCACGGAGCATAACTCTCTCCCCGGCGAAATCAACGGGGACCCCCTTCAACACCTAGACGAAGGATGTCAGGCTTGAACTAGCCATTCACGTCGATGGCACACCAATTTCGACGGTGCATAACCCGAAAATCTAGGGGTTACCTTTGACATCCTACACTCTGAGCACCCACAGACCCCTCAGATAGAATATATGGCCATGGTCCAGACCTTCACTAAACAATTTTTTTTACCCGACGACATACCGATCGAGTGATCAACGGCGGTCATAAAGAGTCAGTCACCACCTACCAAGACTCTCGACCTATGAATGCCGTGATCGGTGCCCAATATCAGCTTATTGCAGATGCAGAGCTTCGACTGCCACGAGAGACCCGAATAACTTTGGCCCAACTACTGTATGGATACTGTAGCCGCCTAAACAACTAAATGATTGATTAAGATCTATAGCGTATTCACTTTTAATCTTCGAATTATTCTGTTTACGGTGACCACTAATAGCGACTCCTGCCGTTTATAATTTTAAATAATCTTGGTCATTCATTAGCCTGCAGCCTACTTCTTGAGGGTTTAATCAAAAAGGGAAAAACTTTGGTAACTTTTCATAAGTATTTACATTCATACAATCACGTTATCGCTACGTGGTTGTATTTAACTATTCTGTTTTGTAAATACATAAATACTCGTTCGGACTTTACTTTGGCTATTGCTGGCCGAACAAGACGACGAACCAAGTTGAGTTGTTGTTCATTTCCCATAACCAGCCTATGGAAGGCATATGCCCAGCTTAAATAAATATTGTAGCCACAAGTAGATAGATGTCTGTTTACTAATGACAAACATATCAATGTACACACAAATATACTATGCACTTGTATACATTCATACATACATATGCACATAAATACCATGTAAGTAAATTTATTGAGCTTTTATATTCAAACAAGGCTTTTAGCCACCCTATTCTGGTTTATTGTATAGATAACGGACTCCAGGTGGCAAGCGAGTATGTATGTACATATGTACATTAGTGTGGGCCGAAAATCCGTTTTTTTTTTTAGAATTTTGATTGGTAATAGCAAAAATATGGTACATTATGCTGTAAAAACAATGTATGTGAAAAGTGACAATTTTCGTTCAGTATCTTAAAGCATAAACAGGCGGCAGCGGCAATTAACTGCAATCGATCCGGATTAAGTCCGAGCTAACGCTTTTAGGCTCGCCCAAGTACATCAAAGTTCAAGCGCTAAAAAATTTCTTTCTTAGCTTACTTCGATTCGTAACAAAAAAGGTCCATATACCAAATTATGTATAGGACTAATACTTTCGAAGATGCTTGCAATTTTAGTAAAAAAAATGATTGATTGATGTATTTCTAAGTTTTTATTTTTTGAGCACATTGAACTTTGATGGACTTGGGCGAGCCTACGATAATGACCAAACATTTTCACCTTTCACACAGATTTTTTCTAGAGCATAATGAACCATATTTTTGCTATTACCAATCAAACAAAAAAAAAACAAAACGAATTTTCGGCCCACGCTAATGTACATACATACATATGTATGTATGTATATGCACTTAACCAATGACCATTTTCACGTCCACCTTTGAATGATACCGCAATCTTTTCGTCCTTGCGGCACATCACGTTTGCCCAAACCTAAGTTTGTTTGCTGTCCATTCTCACCTTGCCTTTTACTTCATTTTTTTTATCAAATTATACTATGTGTGCATTAGAAATACGAAGGTTTTTATTTGCACACGACCGCTGGTGCTAGACCTTAAATACATATGTACATATCTACATATTAAGTATTTGTGCGATTAGAGAAAAAATGTAGCAGCAGCTTAACGATGATAAGGCTTAAATGGATAATAGAGCATAAAATAAATGATTTGTTAGAATGTAATTGCCAGGTGCTTGAGTTATGTATTGCTGATGCTGTTTTTGTAGGCCTGCAGGATATTGATACGCAGCAACTTCTCTAACTGAATAAGGTACTACTCTTCTTTCAAAATTTGACCAATAAGCTAAGTCGATCCTATCGTTTCGGTTGAGAGTAAGAGCTTAAGGTCGTGTTTCGAGTGCTAATTCTTCTCTAGTTTTATGTAATATGGGTTGTGCGCGCAGTTTGGGACCCGCAACGTAAAAACAATAATGCCAGTAAGTAGACTAAAGACCCTAGACCAATGTAAAGGGTCGAAGATCACGTCTCTCTACTAGAACAATTCGAGGCGATAACAGCAATATAGCCTCTATGATGTTGTGTCCGAATTTGGGATCGCCGCAAAACCAATACAGTTGTATTGAGCAAAACATTGTTATCGTCGTATTCAACACCAGGGCCTTGGGTGCAGCATTTTCTATCATGGAAAACGCAGCAAAGCGTTGATCGGTCGCAATTAAAAATATTTAGTGAAGGACTTTGCCTACCTAGGATCCGGCATTGTTACCTAAAAAATAATGTCAGCAAGGAGATAAAGCGAAGAGTAACGCTTGCCAAAAGGTGCTAATTTGGGCTTGGTAGGTCATTGATAAGCAGAACAAAAGCCACGCTCTATAGCATGCGCCCTTTCAAGAGAACTATTCAACGCAATATCTACATAAAGCAGTCTTCGGGTTGGTAATATGTACCGAAGAGGATGTAGTGACGCATGATCGAGCTTTATTATTGCATACATCTGTCAACTTGTCATCCATCAGTAGAGTGCAAGAGTGCTGGAGCGTCAACTGCAGAAGAAGCCTGAATACTAATACAATTGGAATGAACAATCAGTGTTGCCGCGAAGCATTTTTAATGGTAGCCAAATTCCTTTAAAAAAAGGGCTAAAAAAGAGCTAAAAAAAGTCGTTGTGACTAAAAATGGTAGCTAAAATTGTTTGCTTACATAATCATATATAAGTATACACGCAAACATTTTCAATAAGTAATTGTATAGAAAAACCATGAACTCTGGAAAAAAGCTAATATTTTATCCAACCTAAAACCTTTTTGTATAATAGGGGAAATATACGACACCAGCTTGCTGGCTCGATCAAGTGATTGTTCTATCAGGCTCGAAGCATATAACTTACCAGCATGCTGGTACAATATTTATTTCTTTACAAATGAGGTCGAAGAAGGATCGAAATGATTAGAGCCGAAATTTCATAATTTTTCTACCATTTTGTTAAATATTGTTTTTTTTTTTTCAATTCACAACTGCAATATCGTGAACTTAATATTCCACACACACGGCTTTGACTCATATAGTGCAAGAAATTTCCGCCAAAAAATTTTCAAATAGTTTTTGAAGACACACCAGCAGCTGGTACAATCACAACAACATACACGGTCAATCGACTTGATGGGCCATTTAAAAAATGAAGCATATTAAGGGCCAGTTTTTCAGTGCACGGCCGTGGCTTGAACTAAGTTTAAATGCCCGATCTGGCTGGTGTAAACTAAGATCAGCCAATCAAATGTCAGCCAGCTGTTCAATTTAAACTCAGTTTACTTAATCTGAGTTTAAACTGGCACTGAAAAACTGGCCCTAACGGCTGTAAACTTATCTATTTTAAACTGTAGTTAAATCGTTAATAGATAAGTTAAAAAAACAGCCCTAACACTTTTACAGTATGTATGTATAAAAACGTAAGGAACATACAATACATACATGTATATATATCAGTCTTTCTTAGTTTAAAAATTCATCTCTTAAATAAATGCAAAAAAAAATAGATCAAATTAAACGTACACAACTTTTTCATGCCCAGTATGAATAAATTCTCCAAAGGGCTAAAAAAAGGGCTAGGGGCAATTTTAAATTTATGTGGCCAAAAAAAGAATGTGGTAGCTCAATCTAGCCACCAAAGGGCTAAAACGGCAACACTGTGAACAACTGGCGTAACTTTGTAAGGAGAGAGGGATTTGTCAAATTTTTTTGGTCCCGGTTAAAGGTACGATCACACTAAGCGACGCGACACTTTTTGGTATACCGCACTGAAACCGCAGCGGTGCGAAACTTCGCTGCATAATTTTTGTCTAAGCCTTCAAACTGTGACGCTGATGTAATGTTAATGCCTTTTTCTTATTTTACTTGGCAAATTCTTCTCAAATTTTGTGTACCTTTGCATAAAATGTACTTCTCGAATAAAATGTATCTGCATATTCACTCACAATTCGAAATCCAATTTCTTCGAGTTAAAAAAATATGGCATAAAATATTAAGTCGTCCCGCTGGGTATACCGCACTATGCAGCACCGGAACTGAGCGACACCACGCGACGCGACAATTTTGTCTAGTTGGTCAGCTTTGACGCGCAGTGTCGCGTCTCGTAGCTCCGCTGCAGCGTGGTGTGGCATGCTTCATAAGAATCCATGCAAAGCATATGTTGGCTGCGCTGTGTAGTGTCGTGTCGCGTCGCCTAGTGCAGCCGTACCTAGTGTCGAAACCGGTTAGTCTTCAAACCAAATTTTACAAGGCGTTACTGAACTGTTTTCCCAAATAAATCATACTCCCACACTGAATACTTTCCAGTTCCTTTCAATACAATAGGCAGTCACTCCTCATTCGCCTGGCGTAAGCGGCTTAAAGTAGGAGGATAAACAAATTCGCTGCCAACACAATAATACAAAAAGAAAAAAAATCATTTTTTGCATGCATATTGCGTATTGAATTCCAAAATAGGGTTAAGACTTTGATGAAGCGTACAACGCTCAGAAAACGGTATGCAATTTATGGGCACATACCCATACCCATTCAACGTTAATGGTTGTGGTTATCAATGCGGCACGCAATACAGTCGGGGGGGAGAAACGAGCCAGTCGGCGGGGAGTAAGCGATGCTGGCTGCTGCGTGTTCTCTATTTGCTACTCAATAACGGTGAGATTGTTTTTACATTTTATCACTTTTCGCGGCAACTACCTCACCCCAACTACCATGGTGGTGCACATCTCTGCCTGTGGGGGGAGGCATGCAACAACGTCGTAGATTACATAATGATTGATGCTGCAATGCATTCATCAAAATAAATATGTACATACATACATTCAAATTAAAATGAATAAATCTCAGCGTTTATGTACATACAAATATTCACAACGACATCCGAGGGAGGAGCGGCAGCTGCAGTTGGATTTTAGCAGCTGGCGCCAAGCGATTGTGCGAGTAGCATTCTGGGCTCGAGGTTTTGCGCGATGGAACAAAATATTATGTTCAAAAAGGAATAACAAAAGCGAATAACGAAAATCAACACTCAGACACTCGATAAAGTATAAGGTCCTTATGCTCGTTTTTAACGCACGAATGAGTTTTTTTGCGGTTACCATAGATCGATAATTCAATTAATATATATTTATGTACAAATCTGCATATGTATGTTGTACTTTCAATTACTTTAATTATAATAATTGATATAATTATATAATTGAGGAATTTACTAATATCAAGGCATTATTTACATAATATCAAGGGCTCATTAAAAAAATGTACTTGGATTATATTTAAAATAAATATTTGAGGAAATCCACAAAAATTGAAGCCAATTGATTATAATTATGTATTTTGAAGGCTATTTTCTACGTGCTGAAATATATGTAGGTAAATACTACCACGATTTGTGGCACATTTCAAAAACTTGCTTGGTATGCGATTCACAAAAAAAAAAAAAAAGAAGCAAAACAAAGAATTTAGATGTAAAACTACTTACCATTATCCCGATTCACTTCGTAAACGTGTTTAGCACCGCCACTTGCTATGAGACCCTTCACAATGACGGCTAATGTGACTAAAATTACCGTTACTAATGCCATCAGTTGCAAATGTAGTAAACAATTGAAGAGTAAAAGGAGAGAAAAAAAAATGCAAGTATGTTAGTTTAGGCTTTAAGAAAGAGAGTGAACAGTCGCCGTTAGGACGTGAAAATACTTACCAGTTTGTATGACATCTGCGTTAATGGCCGCTTTCAGACCACCCTGTTGTGAATGAGACCAAACATATTTTATAGGTGAATTGAACTAATTTTTAGTTGGTGTAAATACATAACGACATGCATATGTAGGCATATATGTATGTAACTGTATAACTTTCACATACTCAGCCAATCATACAAAATAACCTGAAGTCAGCATATGTAGATACATATAAGGCCTAGGCCACTACATATAGCTTAGTCTAATCTGGTGTGCATATGTTCATGTGTATGTCACATTAGGTCTGTGCGATGAGTGCACTAAAAGTGTATAACAGTGAAATGCAAAACTACTTTTGACATTTAGCACAGGAAAACCCTCATTGAATGCTTTTTCCTATACTAGGGTGCTCCAGTGCACTCAACGAAAATACCTATTGTGTAAATACCGCATTTTGGTTGTATCCTGGCATCGGTATTATCAGTAACCACTTAAATCCAGGAAGGGCTATGACTGTTAAAATTGTGTTTCTGATGTTTCTGATCAAAATTAATCGTTTTTTTTTTTGGATTTTAATTTTTCGATAAATTTCCGACCTTTAATTTTAATTTTTATTTTTTCGATCATATTATAACCGTTTTTTCAAGATTTAATTTGGTAGAACATAAAATCGAATACAAAAACGTAGCATTCTGCTCTGGTTTAGCTAAGTACGATGGACTGAAAACTGCACAAATTAAGCCCATCAAAAGTTTAACTAAAATGAAAATATAGAAAATAGGGCGAGAATAAAAAAAAACAAAATGTTTGACTAAAAATTGAACTCGGGGAAAAAAAATACTTAAACATAAATAAATACGCATTTAAAATTTATTTACAATGAGTTTTCATGACCCACAGCACTTAATTAAAAGCAATTTCCTTGTGGCAATAACTGGCGACATATCGCCAAATGGACGCATGCAACAGCTTGCTTTTTAGCGTAAATATGTACCCTGCAGAGAAACCCCGAAATAGTAGTGAGCCAAATTTTTAGTTCCTTTACTGGATCTTTATCACCAAAAAAGAACCGGTCCGATAGTAACTAAAGAGTTCCACACCAGTTCCAAAGTTGCGAAATGTGGTACTTTTAAAAACCATTTTATTTTACTTTTTGCTTGCCAAGTCCAATTTTTCTAAAAAATTTTATTTTATTATTTACTTTAAATATATATTTATTTGGCGTTTTTTTCGTTCAACTACGCTTTTCTTCTGCATTTCACAGATGCTTTTTTAATAGAAATCTATATTAAGCTTTTAATATCTTGGAACCTTCTGGAATCTAACTAATCACACATCAAGCACCTCTACACACTCAGCTGCAGACTAAGATTTGTAGAAGTGTTTTCAAATGCTAATTTTAAATTAAATTCACTCAAATAAATTTGATTTCAAATTGAACACATTTTTTTGGAATTTGATTTAAAATCGCTACCATGTGAAAAACAAAAAGTCTGAGGGGCGGGGGCAATAGACACTTCTTCGGACATCGTAATGTTACTAGCATGCCAAAGCGAATTAACGCGCACTAGTTATGGAACCAGTTCGGTACTAGTACGCTTCCCCATAGGGTATGCATGTATGTATGTGTATATACCACACGTATATAAACACATGTTATTAGTGTTTAACAATATACAATCAACCTATTATTGATTGCGTTCGCATTGGTCAACCAAGTGAATGTCACGAATAAAAAAAAAAAACTGGTAGGAAAAAAATCATAATAAATGTTGAAGTGCTTAAAAGTATAAAAAAAAAAAAACGTACATCGGTCTATTTATGTGAAAAGCGATAAAATAATTCAGACACACATTCATACCCGCACTTTACAATTTTCACATGCTGAACTTACCATGATAGTGAAAAATATGCAAATCACAGCCATACCCACAATGGATGCCCAATAGGGAATGCCAATTACGGTCGACAACGCGACACTGGGAGTGTAAACGGTAATGCCGAGGGAGCAAATTTGCCGCACAATGTATGTGCCAGAGGCGAGGCAGCGCACCAGCCGACTCTTAAATCTATAAAAAAAGAGAGGAAATAAAAACATGGGAAATTATTATTTTTTCGCTACAATTAAAAAGATTATGCAAATTGCAGTGATTGCAATAAATTGCCTAATGGGTTTTTCTATAGAACCCCGTTGCTTTAATTAAATAAAATTCAATGAGTAAATGCATTTGAGGAATGTGCGTATGTATAAAGCCCCAAAGAGTAGGGGCCTCGCAAATTAAAATCTTAAATCAATTTAAGTTTTTCCGGCACATTTTCGCCGCCCGGTTTGCGGAAGTTCCGACACTGCCACTGCCATGTTTTTATTGCTCTGTCACTGGTTGGCACCTTATTTGTTGTTTTTTTTTTTAAGCTTTTGCTCTTTCCCCATTTCTTTTTTAGTGTTGTACCTACATACATACATACATATTTGTCCTACTAAATGCCACAGCTAGCAAGCCTTTTTATATCCACACCTTTTGACTTTTTATGTGCCACTTCGCTGTAGCCTTGATTCTGTTAATTAAATAAAAACAATTACAACAAGAGCGGCATAATTCCGAAATGGTTGGTTTAAGCGCACTCGAACTATGCTAACTGCGGCAATGGTTTTTTATGATAGCATTTACGCACAGTTTTGTGACAGGCTGTATGCTGGCTAACGGTGTAAATAAAAACATAACAAAATAGATGAAAGAGCAAATAAATGATATTCGGCTTTTCAAATCAAGGACATTACTTGCGATGCGAATAGGTAAAAAATTTGTTCATTCGATCTATGCAACTCCCATTTGTATTCCTACTTACATACATACATAATTGTCGAGTTTACAGGTGATATTTCGTGTTCAATACAAAAATGTATGAAGCGTAAATCAACCAGCACTGGAAGCAAACATAAGTTACATTGCTTGAATACAATAAGCTATGAAATAGAGAGCCGGGCGAGCATGGGAAAACATATTTGCAGTGCTTCAGCACAAATGCTTTGGGTAATGCTCACAAACGGGTGGAAATGCTGGGAAGTATGCGGTACATATGTATGTAGCTCGTGGTAATTTTGCGTTGAAGCTTTTTGGTTAAAAGTGTTCTGCTATGCAAATAAACAGATACACGCACACATGCGCGCACGCACCAACTGGTATGCAACGGAGCATAGCAACGGTGCATCACAGTCTGCGGCTTCGCGACGAACAAAGCAATGCATAAATTGGGAGCGCGCACAAAGCACTCGATGCATTCAGCCAGCAGCAGCGCCAATGAACGAACTGTGTGTGTGTGCGACGATATGCGGTGACAATGCACAGCAAAAGCTGCGTGAACGCACCGAACATTCGGGGGTTTTTCGGTTAACCAACCGCCAGAGTTGCAGCGCCCAAAGCAGAGTGTATTTAAGCCCTCGAGTTCTTCGGTCGCTTTATGCTTCAGTAAACGCCATTAAATGTGCAAATATAGTGCATCAGTCTTCTGCAGCTAAATAGCTGAGGGCGTAGCGCGCATTACTAGAATGATGCGGGGACTACTTTTCCCAAATACTTGCATTAATCCACTTTAATATCTTCATATAAGCCGAGCGAAAGTGTGCTCAAAATTCTTACATTTTCAAATTATCAATTCATACATACTTATTTTACGATTCATACATACATCGTCACCTAAGGTTGAAAAGGTGCCAAGTCCATATTTTTAAATTTTTCAGAAGATACAAAAAATCGATGTAGTTCGATGTCGCATTACCTGCCTTTCTGCATCAAAAACTAAATTTTGAAAAAAAGAACTTGGCCTCTTTTCACCTTTATGTAGCTGTATGCGGTTAACTTACTGAAGTAGGTATACATAAAGTGAATAAATTCACACCTTTACGTGTGCAATAACCAGCCGTATAATTTATTTTGGATTCAACATAGGAAGCAACATATGTAGGTAAACCCTTGCGGCAAATTCTGGTTCGTTTTTAGCTTAATAGAACATTAAAAATCGCAAATCGGTTTGGTGGAAGATTTTCTGAATTTTTGGAAGTTGCGGGTTTTATACGTAATGTGGCTTGTGATCCCATATTGAACTATCAATCCTTTTCATAGCTATGGTATGAGATCTTATTTCCACCTTTGAGATCTCTCGAAAAATCTTTGTAAGAGCGTACGTAATCTCCTTTTGTTTGGTGGCGAACAAGTATATACAATTAGTTACACATTTTCTTCTTCTTTTATGAACCCTAGTATTATGTCATGCAATTCAATTAGCCCGTTATACGCAAGAGTCCTATTAGGATGGAACAAAAGTGGCAGCGTTAATTTGCTTTGCAATTACTCAAACCAAGGTGTCCAGGTACCCGTTTGAATTGAACTTAAAAAGGCTTGTCCATCTTCTTTAAAGGTCTGTGAAATTCGAACTTTGCCGTGCCTATATGTAAGTATAAAGCTTTCGGGGTTGCCAAACTGTCAGAGAGTATGAAGTTTTGTTTCCTTTCTGTAGATAATTGCCTCCTCGATAGCCTACGCTTTCGCTCGATAAAAACTGGCATAGCATGTCACCCCAATCCATTCCAAAAGGACTTCGCGCAAATGCCATTAGGTAAATACATATTATGTCGAAGTTTAAGAAGTGGATAGATAGTGCACGTGATGAGAGGCCATTCCTATGTCTATGAAATACATTAAATTTCACTGTAGGGACGCTAAAATGTCAAAAAAAAAGCCGAGACATTTAAACTTCATTTTGGGTCGGATCTGGATTCCGTTTTTTCTAGACCAGATAATTTTCATTTTAAGTTTGCATTGCGAATAGAAAATGTTTAAATGGAATGGAACATGTTACTCGAACGCCATGAACGAGTATGTACGAGTATGACCTTGTACCATATGGCGTATGAGTAACATTATAACCTGCTCCCAATTCATATAACTTTATCATTTACCTATCGATTTTTATCGTTTAATGTTTTTGAAAAGGAACAGGTTTTAACAAAAATGCAAAAATAAAAATATATATATAAAAGATTATATACGCAAAAAACTTCTTCCCTAGCAACACTTTTCGCACATATATTCCTATGCCGGTCGATTTTATGATGTACCGCGATAGCATTTCACATTTAAAATGAACAAATTGAAGGAATGTTGAAACGAATTTAATGTGCCTGCCAATCGCAACAAAATCGATCATTGAGAAGGCACACATTCATCAAGTGAATGATGAAATTATGATGTGCGAATATTTAACAGCCACATATAAATACCAATACCTAATTAACAATTACACCTACATACTTATGTACATTTTCATTCATTAGTTAGATGTGTGAAGCAGAGCATCGATTTTTATTAAATACTCCATCAGCCAACCGCAATTGACAAACTGTTAACGAAGGACTCAACATATATGTACATACATATCGTCGTCATCTGAAATGCAAAAAGACCTAACAACATCGTAAATGAAATGGAAAAAGTCGTGACTAATATTTTAATTTTTTTTTCACAAAATGATGTGGACAGTTGTAATTCGATGCAATCTATCACATAAATCTAAAAGTTAATTTTGAATTTTTTATTAGTTATGACTTATCGCATTTCAACGATGATGGTTGTTACGTCTTTTTGCATTTCAGGTGATGATACATACTGTCTAGGGATGTTTCGAATGTCGAATGCGAATGCGAATTTCCGGAATGCGAATGCGTATGCGAATGTTAGGTTGATTAAGTGCATCCATATCATTAAATCGTTAACTGTACCGTTAGAGATGAGTCGCGGACTAATATATCTTCAAGTCTACCCGCTTGAGATTAGTTGCGACAAATTAAAGCCCAATTGTACCCCATGGAGACTATTACCGGAATTAATATTTTAGAGATCAGTCACACAATTTTTTGCAGGGTATGTAAGTAGAATCCAATGTGCATCAGTATAGTGTGGGTGTGTGTGTGTGTGCTTTAAGTTTCCATCAGTTGATTGTTTTTATTTTAATATTTTTTTGTTTGCTTGTAATTCGTAATTTATTGTTGTCATAAATGCAGTAAAAGGCGTATGTATGTATACAGTTGTAAGAATGCAGTTACATATGTTATGCGTATCTCCGCTCTACTGCCGCTGGTGGGCGATAAAAGTGATGGGAAGTGACAAGTCGCGGTGCGCACTCGGCAAATAGGCTCACGGCAATGCACCAGAACGTGTTGGCAGATAAATGTGCATGCCAATATGCAAGTATGTACAAATGTATGTACGTAATTACTATTTTAATAAGCACGAACGTGCACACACACACACACACATGCATATATGGTATCCTTACGCAATATCAGTAGTGCGTTGGTCATAAATTCCGATGTCATTGTTTCTGCGCTTTTGCAATTTGTCGCGGAGAATTTCTTCGTTTTTAATTTCAATTTTTTTTTGGCTACATTGATCAGAGGTGGCTTTTATGCTGACACATTTGCTGGCATGCCACTTTCCTACCATCCATCCTCACCATCATTAACATAGGTACATATGTATGTATGTTGGCAGGTGAGAAATTTTGCCCACTCGAATATGTAGACTGCAACATACTTACATATACATACATATATTTAATTCACTTATGGTTGTGTGTGCTTATGTGACTGATGCTGACAGCAGAAATATTCAACCGCGAATAAAACATTTAATAATTTGTTAATGACCGCAGGCAGCTCGCCGCAAAATGCACAACACGCAGCGTATCGCACACAAACATTCGAGTTGCACTTCTGCTGGTTGAGTGAGTATGCCACACACTTGAGACCAGACTGTAGCTTCGGTAGGTATGTCAGATAGCAAAAAGGGCATTTAATATGTAGGCTTGCAATATGTTGCCATTAAAAAGCATGCAGATAAATTAATAACTATCTATTTATATTATGCCATGATTTAAATTTTAATTTCATATCCATATATTCGCACGAAAGCGGGTTGCGCGCATGAATGTACAGTTGTGTTGTCTGTTTTTCACTGTGCATTTTTCGTTGACGTTTCACTGAGATAATTGAAGTTTTATAGACGGCTTGGTG